GGAAGTGACGTGGAAAGGAAAGTAGGTGTGTGTGTGTGTGTGTGTGTGTGTGTCCGTGTGTGTGCACACACACGCACACACAATGGAATATTACTCAGCCATAAAAATAGTAAAATAATGCTATTTGCAGCAAAAAAAAATTTTTTTTGTATTTGATTGTGGTGAGCAGCCACATCAGGCTTGATGAATTTGAGCAGATTCCATAACTGTCTTGAATATGTGTTCTTTGCTTTACTGAACTTGGAACTCAGTACTCGAAACTCTTTGATGGCCATATTAGAGAAAGTCCTAGAAAAAAAGGAAGGTTTTCTTTTTATATCTCGTGATTAAGTGAAGGATGGGAAATAATCTGGAAAAGTCAGCGCATGGTCAGAGATCCTTATGAAAAAAGATGGTGGTATTCCTAGTATTCCGTGACATGCTTCCTGGAATTATTAAGAAAATATTGCAATCTCTTGGCAGAGTGTTTTGAGTAGCATGACAGAGTCATGTGTATGTCATCTTTATTTAATGTACAAGCATGCAAAGTCCATGAGGACAGGGGCTTTTTCTTGATTTGTTCACCTAGAATAGTATCAGGCACACAGGAACCACCATTTTTTTTTTTAATAGTATAACTTTGTGAAGGTCTTGCCATGACCCTGGATCCTTGGGATTTCTCTCTCATTGTATTTCTTTTGTCTAAATGTCTGTATATATATATGTATATGTATATGTATATGTATATGTATATGTACATGTATATGTGGGCATATGTCTATACATATATACACACATATACGTTCATATATATATACATATATGCATGCATATATATATATATATATATGTTCACTATACATGTGTATTTATCAAAGCATGTGTGCTTTAGAAATAAAATTTATATTATGATACTGTCTTTGAACATCCAGGACTTGTATTTATCCAACATATTGTTGCTGTGTATCCATCAAATGATGAAGCTTTGGACTCTAAGCATTAATAACACACTATATCTTAAATACAGTCTTGAACAGCCAAACTTGTGTACAATTATTGTTGACTCTTAATTAATAAAAGACTTGATAGCTTACGAATAGAGTCCATTTGTTATTACAGGAAGTTTAGTTAAACATTTAGATGGTGAGACAATTCCACTGGGGGTATATTTTAGGAGAATGAGAAGAAATTACTGAAAACAACTCAGATTAAAGCTTCATTTCCTGAACAACAATTTCTACAGGAAATGCTTGCTCACATTTTACAACAGAACTGTCCAGAGAAGTCCTATCATTACCCAAGTTTGCATCTAAAGATACCAGTTATGAACACAATTAGACCCTTTGGGAGGATCACAGCAGCTCCTCAGAGGGTTTGACCTCATGCCTTTCAATTTCCAACCAGAGAGCCTACATGCCTAACATACAGCATATGCTCAATTTAAGAGTTAAGTCTTCAAAAGACACAATTCACCATCCTTGGAGTTAAAGTTGTACTAGCAATTTGGAAAATTCAGAGGGAATTAAAGAAGATAACTTAAATATCACTCTTTGTTGCCTTTGTTCCAAATAATTTTAAAGACAGTCTGTGGAACCACCGAAATTTTCTGTTGTGAACCTTCTTTAAATAATGAGGACACTGGGAGTCCTACAGACTCTTTCTCTAGACAAATCCTATAGACATGGAACCCCTTCTCCATGCTCCTGCTGAACTTCCTAAGAAGGGGAAAATTCTTAGAATATCAACATTTGAGAAAGAAGGAGGAGGAGATTCAACTTTACACAGGAAGTACTGGAGGTCCAGCATGGGGAGCTACTGGGCAGGTATTTCAGAGCTACAGGACTATACAGAATCCTAACTCAGGTGCCCTAAGCCCTGGGATTAGATTTTTGTTGGTTTGTTTTCCCCAATATGTGTATCATTTTCCATCATGGCTGAGTTCCTTCTGCTTGGTAAGCTCAAAGGAGTCCCTGGTCAACCACTGGGCGCAAGGACGGATGTGGAGGGAAGGGACATGGCAAAGTGGTCCAAGCTGGAGCTAGATTATGACACTGGATCAAAACTGCAGAACTGTGGTTATAAAAGATTTTTTTAACTGGTCACTCTGGTAAAAAGGTAAAGCACAGGAATTAGTCCTTTGCCCTTGTATTTGCCTCCTCCTCAAAGCTCATCAGTATCATATTAGGCAAAGACTGATTCAAGCTGTCAAGAAATGAATGAATGCAAAGGTTAAGACAAAAGCAGGGGCACCTAGAGTAAGAAGATGAGCCCCAAACCAGCCCAGAATCATTCTGTGAAGCTTTTCTGTGCGAACTCCACAATACAGCAAGTTCTCCTTAATCTTGCCCAGCAGACGCCCTTCCTTCTGTCCAGCAAACAATTAAAGTGCAAGGTATTCCAGGCACTTGAGAGTGGGGGAGGTGGAGGGAGGTGGGGTTCAGTGTTGCTGGTGGAGGGTAAGTTACCATAGCAATTCGCTCATGGCCCCCTACAGACACACATGCTCACAAACACACACAGGTGATCAACTTTTTAGGAATTAAATTTTCATATGCTTTTAGAAAACAACATCATATTATTACTATCTCCTTCAATATTCAGAAAGTATTTCAGGGCTTTTTTACAGCTGTAAGATCTATATCCTCTCCATTTATTCTCACTGTAAAGAAGGGTAGAAAAATTTTCACAGCAAATTAATCTTAAGTGGAACAATGGCAACTCTGTGTGTGTGTGTGTGTGTGTGTGTGTGTGTGTGTGTACCATGAATTCCAGAAGTTTCCCTGAACATATCCCCTGTTTTCAGTATGGTGGCTATTTTCCTCCCTCTGACTCTTCCCTAGCTCCTGATTGGACTGTTTTGGAAAAAGAAAAAACACATCTAAAAGACTTCAGCTTTCTGTTTGCTTGGGTTTGGGATCAATGGAAATGTGTTACAGTGCTTTAATTCCATCATAAACTATAACTTTTCAATTAGAAGTCCAGCTTCTCTAATCCTGCCAGGAGTCTTCCAAATTGGTGGGTTTAAGCATTAATAGTTCCATGTTACAGATAACAAAACTTTAGCACTTTGCTGTAAGCTTCCCTGGGGAAAGTCGTGGCTTCCACGGAAGTAGAACCCAAGACTCTGGGCTTCTTTTGACCACAGCCAAAGAAGTACTCACGTCATGATCTGCGTCTCCATGCCGGCCTCCACCAGAGCCCCGTCGACAAAGAGAGGAAGTGAAGTGAAGCCACACTTGTCCCAGGAGTGGCCTTCATCAAAACTCACCCTGGGTTGGAAACAAGTACACGGAAGAGACAGCTGAAAATAAAATCACTCTTGTGCAACCATGTTTCAGGTTATTAAATTCTCCTCTGTATCTCCCTTTCTGGCAGTTTGGATCATCAACAGGCGTTCATCTTCAACATCTCCCCATATTATTATGAGATTTGATCAAAACTGCATTTTCTGGCCCAGGCAGACACAGCACCAAGAGCTGCAGAAACATTTCAACCTATTAGAATCGAAAAAACCAACCCAGGCAGGAGGGCTTAGTGGATGGAGGGTCACATTTCAGGTCCCCGGAATGAAACCCGAGGTTCAGTTTACAGCACAATCAATTCAGCCTTTGGAGTTTCTGACACAGATAAATTGAGCAGTGCGGGGTGTACCCTATGGGAGGGGAGCTGTGTGTCTTTCCGATCAAACCTTAAAAATAGCAATTTCCTATTTGTTCAGAATGGATGAAGTATTATTTTCCCTCCCTGAGGCCACTTTAAGGGTCTTTTAGGGACAAGTATAGAGTGTCTGAGATGTCCTGGCCAACGCTGTTCCATCTATCAGTTGATGGTAAGAGGAGGGTCTGGCTATTTGTGGACACAGCTTCCAAAACCCTTTAAAGGGATGCAGCTAGTGGAGAAGACCTGAGCAACTCTGAGTGCTGGTCCTTCCCTCTCCTGAGCGCCCTACAGTTCCTTGACTTAACCAGAGGACAGAGCCCAAAGCCCATCTCCTCTGACAGCTTTTCCTGACACCCCTCCTTCCCCAAGGCAGCTTTATTTGTTTCATTTCCTGTGATCCTTCTTGGCATGGTTAATTCTTAATTCTTCTCGGCTCCACAACCCAGGATTCTCCGAGTTCAACTGTAGAAACTCTCATTTCCAACAACACCCAGCCTTCCCCTAGCACGGTGCTGAGTGATGACTTCTTAACTCATCTTGAACCCCTCAAGTTCAACATCATAGTCTTGGGAGCTCAGGACTCATGCATGTCCTGTTCACTGACTGACCCCTTAACACTACCTACATATCTTTATGGCAATGCTCCTTACCTGGTATTATATCCATAATTTCAAAAAATGTCTGACTCTCCCACTGAACTGTGATCTTTTCGAGGTCAAAGATCATATTACTCATTTTTGCATTCCTAGTAATTATCAGAAACAATGGCGCTTGCTACGATATAAATGTTAAATAAACATGAATTAACAAATAAGGAATGATAAGGAAGCTCTTCTAATCCATCCAATCATTTTTCTAGCATGGCCTACACTGGCATCCATGTACTGGATGTGACAGCCTCTTTCTCCATTACTAGTCAACCTGCTCAGCCCATTCTCCACATATTTACTTGTCTCTCTTAACCTCTGTCTCTTTCTGTCTTATCCTCTCTTCCCAAATATATTGATTTAAAAAATTGGAAAGGCAATCTCTTTACCCAGCTAGAAAAACCAGTCTGTCATACAACAATTTTTGTATTTATGGTCTACCTAGGCCTACTTCCACAAACAAAAAGCAGGAAGTGGTCATAAAAGTGACCGGTATTTCTCTGGACTTTTGAAACAATTTTATTGAGATAGCCTTGACATAGAAAATTGCATGTATCTAAAGTTTATAACTATATGTACACACACATATATAATACATATAGTGAAAAGTAGGCCACAATGAACCGGGTTTCTGAGGGGATAGGAGTGGAGGGTGGGCAGGAGGAAGAAATGAGGAGATGTTGGTCAAAGGTACAAAGCTACAGTTATGCAAGATGAATGAGTTCTTGGAGATTTAATGTACAGCACAATGATGATAGTCAACAATGTTGTCTTGACCTTTAAGGACTTGGTCATTTCAGCCTTTTGTTTCCAATAGGCTGGATAATCATCAAAGCTGAACCAAAGGAAGTTTGGGCAGATCTGAACTTCTTTTCTTGGAAATAAATTTCTCATTTCAAAAGTGAAATCAAGAGTGTCATTAGGAATGGATTCACCTTTCATGCCACGTACCCACTTGGTTCCTAAAATCATCACTGGAGTCTCTAAGTATGTCATGGCCACTACTTAACTCTGGCTGGTAAGTCCAGGGGGTGAAAAAAAAATTCTGTTTAGTGTTTTTGTTGTTGTTTGTTTGCTTTGATGACTTTGGATTGATTATTGTCTTGATAGAAAGAAGTCAAAGTGGAGGAAGGCACCTGTCCTTGTCTCATTCTCTGAGTTCCCTGACTGGTGAAAGTCAGTTATTGAACTAGCAGAGAAAAATGCAGTGAGTGCCACCAGCATTCCAGGGAAGGAGGAGCCTTCACACCACTGCCATTAACAGCAGGGCAGAGGACAGTCATCTTAACTCCATACATGAAGATAAGACAACACGGAGTAGAAATAGAGGGACCATCTCAGCCTTCTGAGCTCTGAGCTCTGAGGTGGAGGCTCCAAAGAAACACTAAGCCCAAGATGGAGAGAGGCACTGTGGAAGATAAAGGCATGCTGTGCGAACTGAATTCATATGGAAGGAGCAAAGGCTTCTTCTGGAAGAATGGGAGCAGCGGAAAAAAAAAAAAAAAAAAAGAGGAGAAGAAATGCTAACATCCAGGTGGGAAAGCTAGCATATCCAATAGCCAAAGTCTAAGGAAGACATAAAATCACCATAAACAAGGGGACAGTTCCCCAGAGCCAGGGTAAGGAATGCACCCTCTAACTCTCACTGACGGGCAACACCACTCGGAAGCCCAGGATTGTGCCCTTCAGGTGACCTTCTGAGATCAGTAGTTTCTAACACCTGAATATCTCAGGCTGAGACAGTTACTGAAAGCAACACAAAAATCCTAAAAAGTAGTCCAAACAATACATTAGAAACTTTAATCACATGACTATCAGAAACTTGGGTCTGAATGGCCTACCATTCGGGAAAGCTATCCTTCCTTAGTTTTTAGATGTTCTGAGGCAACTACATTGAATGATAACCCTCTGGGATCCATCTTCTCCTCTATAATTCAATAGCTCATTAATGGCCAAGACAGAGGGATCTGGAATGCCTTACTAAGCCCACAGGTGAAGCTCAGTTGGTAGCATTGCCAATACTCAAGGACACAGGGGTAAAGTTCCAGCTGACCTGTAAACAGTGGCAAGACAGGACTATAAAACTGAAATAAAATGAGCCATAATGAAAAAGAAACTGAATATATATATATATATATATGTTTGTATGAATATGTGTAACTGAACTGCTTTGCTGTACACCTGAAACTAACATTGTGAATCAACTACACATCAATAAAAAATAAGAATAAAAAAATTAAATTAAAAAATTAAAAGGAGAAAAAAGGAAAAAAATATAAACAAGTACTAGGGTGAAATATACAACACGATAAACATAATTCACGCTGCTATAGCTTGTCGTGGGCACACAGCACCGTGACGGTGACACGCAGGTTGGTACAGAATCACCAGAGACCGAGAGAGTTTCGGAACAGTTAGGAGGTACGCTGGATAAGCACCAGTGGGCCACAGAGGTGAGAGGTGCCAGCGTGAGCACTGGGGATGGGTGTGCTGGGTCTTTTACTGGGGGGAGGGGGGCAGTGCACACAAGGAGTAGTTTCTGCACAGGTACCTGAGTGGTTGTAAGATCTGTCAGGGACTTCCCTGAGCAATAGGTTTTAGGGCTTTGATAAGGGCAGGAGGTGAGGGTAGGATTAGGGTTAGGGTACTATGAGACAGGTTACCTCCTGGGGCGATGAGTTTTGTCAGGGTAAACACACAGCAAGAGAAGACGTTTTATTTCCTGCAGACACGCAGGTAAGCGGAGAGTCCTGCAGTGGGGAGTTGGGTTAGGGCGTCCATAGGCTCCAGGCACACAGAGAGCCCAGGAGCGAGGGTTTTCTGACTCCAGAGAGGGCCAGCCAGCTCCACATAGGTTATATATGAAGTTGTTAAGAGAGTGAACCCTAAGCGTCCTTATCACAAGGAAAAAATTTTTTTTTCTATTTCTTTCATTTTGTATCTATCTGGGATAGTGGAAGTTCACTAAAGATATTGTGGCAACCCTTTTATGACGTATGTAAGTCAAATTATTATGCTGTACACCTTAAACTTATACAGTGCTATACGTCAATTATAGCTCAATATAACTGGAAGAAAAAAAATTTAAAGTAAGCCAATTTGCAATACAACAAGAAGCAAAGCTTAAAAAACAAATAAAATAGAATTCATTTATCAAATATTTACTGATGTCTATCAACTCTGTGCCTGGTCTGGCCGTGGGCTCTATTCTAGAGATACAGCATTGAACAAGAAAGGGAAGGTCCTGGCTTCAGTGGAACTTAGGTTCTAGTTTGAGGAGACAAGCAGTATGCAGATAAACAGACACAAAAATATATGTTAGGAAAAAGTGTCACGAAGATAACTAAAACAGGATGATATGATGCAGTGAGTGAATAGCTACTTTATATGGAAAATTTAAGAAAGATCCTCTCTGAGGAGGTGACATTTAAACTGAGATCTGAACAACAACAAGGAGCTGCCCATGCAAAGATCAAGGTGAGAGCCATTCCTGAGGGCAGATCTGGTGGGAAGGACAGAGAGATGGTTAGTGGCTGAAGGTTAGTGGGAAAGGAGTTAAGAGACGGAAATAGAGTCAAGAGAAGAAGGCTGGGCTGGGCTACAGAGGACCTTGCTTCCAGCTGAAATGGGAGAGATGTGATTTAATTTAACCTTTAAAAGACAACTTTAATTTCTTTGTGGTGAATGGATTGCCAGGGGCCCAAATTGGATACAAGGAGATGAATGGGGAGGGGGTGGCCATTATAAAAGGCCGAGTAAGAGAAAGGGTTTGGACAAAGGTTTTAATAGTGGAGACAGAAAGGAGATGGGAAGATTTAGAATATTTTTACAGGTGAAGTTAATAGGATTTGGCAATAGAATGTATACAGATTGCTTGAACAAAAGAAAGAAATCACAGACAGCATGGATTAGGGGGTTAAGTAATTAAGATGGGGAAATGGGGAGAACAGGAGAAGCAAAAC